TACCCGGGATATGTGTTATGTGTTTTTGTGAACTGTCAGTGAGCTATGTTAGTATGTGATACTTGTTTTGAGATGTGAACTGTATATGTTATGTATACCTGCTTTTGACTACATGTGAGGATGGTATCATCTGATGTGAGGCGGCAGAGGCCGCGGGCGGCAGAGGCCGCGATGTGATGTGTGATGTGAGGCGGCAGAGGCCGCGGGCGGCAGTGGCCGCGGATGTGATATGCACTAGTGCGATTCCTCCGATCGTCGAGATGGTGGGTTCCTCCGATCTTGAGAAGACGAGACAGGGGTCTCGTGATGTGATGTGCACGGGATGGCAGACTCAGCCGACGGACGGTAGACCGTAGCGTACGGGGAGTACCTTGGCCCGGCGATGAGATGAGTTGTGTGGCTAAGGGCTCAGCCGGCGGACAGTGTGCTACCGTAGCATGCGAGGAGTATACTGGCCCAGCGATGTGATGTGCACGGGATGGCAGACTCAGCCGACGGACGGTAGACCGTAGCGTATGGGGAGTACCTTGGCCCGGCGATGAGATGAGTTGTGTGGCCAAGGGCTCAGCCGGCGGACGGTGTGCTACCGTAGCGTGCGGGGAGTATACTGGCCCAGTGATGTGATGTGATGATTGATTACCTTGATACCTCACATATGTGTTTTGATTACTGCTCACTGTATATATGTGTATGTATGATTTTTTTTGTACTTGTGGCGTGATACATATCCCAACATGTATAGATTTGGTATCATCCGTACTTACTGAGTTTCGCGACTCATAGTTTTTAAACAATTCCAGATTTGTTTGACTGTACCTGCCTCGATTAGCGTGTCACGTGGGATCGACGACAGCGGACTTGTTGGATGTACGGGCATTTCTCTTTTGAACTTTACCCGATTGTATTCTAGAGTAGCTTCCTTGTACTCTCAGACAGGATGTCGGGTGGTTTTTGGATGTTATATTATTACACTTTGTGTATGTTTTATATATTTGGAGTTCGACTGGTTTTGTTGAGGCTTACTGGGGTCGGTGGATCCCAGTGCCGGTCACGGACCCGGGGTTCGGGGCGTGACAGTCTCATTACAGGACTCCGTCTTTTCCTTAATTTCGGGTATGTTCTGGGCATAATTAGATTAAAGTCAAAACACAAAAGTTGTAGCTCTGTCTCTTATCTTTCCAACAAATTTTGAATCGTGCCAATCTGAGTTTCCTAGTCGGAGATAACGAGACGGGAAACTAGACTGTTACAATTCTCCATCTGTTATCTTATATATACGAACTTGTAATGTTACAAGTCTCCATCTGTTATTTTACATATGCGAATCAGTCTAGTTTCAAGCCTCTATTTGTTATCTTACATATGGAAACCTGTCATGCTACAAACCTCCATCTGTTCCTTTACAAATTGAACTTGTCTAGTTACAAGCTTCCATCAGTTGTTTTACAGATGACAACTAGTAATGTTACAAGTCACCATCTGTTATTTTACACATGCGAACAAGTCTAGTTACAAGTCTTAATTTGTTGTCTTACATATGCGAACTTGTAATGTTATAAGCCTCCATCTGTTATTTTACATATTCGAACAAGTCTAATTACAAGTCTCCATCTGTTATTCTACAAATATAACCTGTCATGTTACAAACTTCAATCTGTTGTTTTACATATGTGAGCCTGTAATGTTACAAGTCTCCATATGTTATTTTACATATGCGAACCAGTCTAGTTACAAGCTTACATCGATTGTTTTATGGATGACAACTAGTAATGTTACAAGTCTCCATCTGTTATTTTACACATGCGAACTAGTCTAGTTACAAGTCTCCATTTGTTGTCTTACATATGCGAACTTGTAATGTTATAAGTCTCAATCTGTTATTTTACATATACGAACCAGTATAGTTACAAGTTTTCATCTGTTATTTTACAAATGGAACCTGTCATGTTACAAGCTTCCATCTGTTGTTTTACATACGTGAACCTGTAATGTTACAAGTCTCTATCTGTTATTTTACATATGCGAACCAGTCTAATTATAAGCCTCTATCTATTATCTTCCATGTGGGAACTTGTCATGTTATAAGTCTCCATTTGTTATTTTACAAATGGAACCTGTCTAGTTACAAGCTTCCATCTGTTATTTTATGGATGGCAACTTGTAATGTTACAAGTCTCCATCTGTTATTTTACATATGCGAACAAGTGTAGCTACAAGTCTCTACTGTTATTTTACAAATGGAACTTGTCCAGTTACAAGTTTCCATCTGTTGTTTTACAGATGGCAACCTGTAATGTTACAAGTCTCCATCTGTTATTTTACATATGCAAACATGTCTAGTTACATGCCTACATCTATTATCTTACATATGGGAACTTGTCATGTTACATACCTCCATCTGTTCCTTAATTTCGGGTGTGTTCTGTTTATAATTAAATTAAAGTCAAAACACAAAATTTGTAGCTCCGTCTCTTAGCTTTCCAACGAATTTTGAATTGTGCCAATCCGAGTTTCCTAGTAGGAGATATCAATTTTTTTACTGAAATTGTTCTTGTTGGAAAATTTTTTAATAGAAACATTACTTTGCAGCATCAGTTTCGTAAAAAATTCATATTTGAAACTAGGGAACTCGGATTGGGACGATTCAAAATTTATTGAAAAGCTAAGAGAATGGGCTACAACTTTCATGTTTTGACTTTAGTCAAATTATGAATAGAACCCACTCGAAATTAAAGAGAACCGAAACTGTGTTTTTTTACAAGCGGCAATCTGTTTACTTGCAAGCGCTCATCTGTTATTTTACCGACGGGAATTGTCTAGTTACAAACATCTATATGTTAGTTTACAGATGGGAACCTGTTTCATTGTTACAAGCCACCATCTGTTATTTTACATACGGGTATATGTTTTGTTATGGGCCTCAATATGTTTTTTTACAGAAAAGAACCCGTCTCGTTACAAGACTCCATTTGTTCCTTAATTTCGGGTGTGTTTTGTGCATAATTAGATTAAAGTCAAAACACATAAGTTGTAGCTCCGTCTCTTAGCTTTCCAACAAATTTTGAATCTTGCCAATACGAGTTTCCTAGCTGGAGATGTCAATTTTTTACCGAAACTGTTCTTGTTGTAAAATTTTTTAATAGAAATAGTACTTTGCAGCACTAGTTTCGGTAAAAAATTCATATATAGAGTTAGGGAACTCAGATTGGGACGATTCAAAATTCTTTAGAAAGCTAAGAGAATGGGCTACAAGTTTTATGTTTTGATTTTAATCAAATTATGAATGGAATGCACTTGAAATTAAAGAGAACCGAAACTGTGTTTATTTACAAGCGGCAATCTGGTTGTTTACAAGCGCTCATTCGTTATTTACTATCTAGTTACAAACATCTATATGTTAGTTTATAGACTGGAACCTGTTTCGTTGTTACAAGCCACCATTTGTTATTTTACATACGAGAATATGTTTTGTTACGGGTCTCAATATGTTTTTTTTTACAGAAAAGAACCCGTCTCGTTACAAGACTCAATCTGTTCTTTAATTTGGGGTGTGTTCTGGGTATAATTAGATTAAAGTTAAAACACAAAAGTTGTAGCTCCGTTGCTTATCTTTCTAAAAAATTTTGAATTGTGCCAATCCGAGTTTTCTAGCCGGTGATATCAATTTTTTACCAAAACTATTTTAGTTGTAAAATTTTTTAATAGAAACAGTATTTTGTAGCACTAGTTTCGTTAAAAAATTCATATCTGGAGCTAGGTAACTCAGATTGGGACAATTCAAAATTTCTTGGAAAGCTAAGAGAATGGGCTACAACTTTCATGTTTTGACTTTAATCAAATTATGAACAGAAAGTACTCGAAATTAAAGAGAATCGAAACTGTATTTTTTTTACAAGCGGCAATCTGTTTGTTTACAAACGCTTATCTGTTATTTTACAAACGAGAATCTGTCTAGTTACAAACATATATTTGTTATTTTACAAACACAAACCTGTTTCTTTGTTACAAGCCACCACCTGTTATTTTACATACGGGAATATGTCTTGTTATAAATGTAAAATTTTGCTGTAAAATTTTAAGTTATGTTTCTTTAATTTCGAGTGATTTCTGGGAAGAATTGAATTATGATTTAAACATAAAAGTTGCAGCTCTATCTCTTAGTTTTCCAATACCCCAAGAATCAGTTCAATCCGAGTTTTATAACTAAAGTTATGACATTTTTCCAAAACAGCAGCAAGCTGTCAACTGTTCTATAGCTGCAAAAATGTGAAATTTTACTGTAAAATTTCAAGTTATGTTTCTTTAATTTTCGAGTGCTTTCTGGGAAGAATTGAATTATGATTTAAATATGAAAGTTGTAACTCTCTCTCTTAGCTTTCCAATGTCTCAAGAATTAACTCATTCCGAATTTTGTAATTCAAGTTATGATATTTTTCCAAAACAGCCATAACTTGTCAACTACTGCTATTACTCTTAGCAGCACCAGTTTCGGTAAAAAATTTATATCTCAAGTTAGAAAACTCGAATTTGGGCAATTCAAAATTCTTTGGAAAGTTAAAAAAAGGAACTACAATTTTTATGTTTTGACTTTTTTCTAATGATACCCATAACATACCTAAAATTAAAGAAATATAAGCTGATATCTATAGGCGCAGTAACAGATTTTTGCAATAATCTGTTCTGTTACAATCACATATTTATTTTTTGACAGTTAGGTATTTGTTATTTTATAATCATTAATCTATTATGTCCAAAACGTATTTAAAATTAAAGAATCTTTTGAGTATACAAATTAACTTAACTGGGTAATTTTGTAAGATATAAATTTTTTTAAAATTATTTTTCCTTTTATCTTAAGAATAAATATTTTTATTTAATTTTTTTTTATAGTAATTGTGACTTCTTTTAATATCTTAAATTCCGCGCACCCTATCTATTCGCTCGCCTCCACTACCACCAACGCCACCGATAGCTGAAAGTCGTCGGCGGCGAGGACAACTATGGAGACGAACAGCAGAGGCGGCCTATCACTGTCGAAAAGGACGAATTCAGGACATCAGACAACGATTTACGCTCTCGGTCACGATATTCTCTGTTTAATCTTTTCTTTCCTCGACCTCCTCGACCTCGGTCGATGCTCCGGCGTCTGCAAATACTGGTACTCCTCTTTTGCGGTTCCAAATTAGTCCATACGATGTTTTCTTTCCAATTTTTCTGCACTAGACTTCTAATAACTCCAACGCTGCAGAGGGAAGTCTCATATTGCCTTGGATTACGTTGTCTTAAATTTTTTTGAATTTAATGATTATTTTTGCGTTTTAGTATGTTTTCTATTAACTTCAGCCTCCTTTTCCAACCTTTTCGAAATAGAATCCTAAATTTAATCTTGATCGAGTTATATATTGATATTCTATAAGATGAGTATGTGATGACTTGTTCGTGTGGTAAAATAGCATGATGTTAATTTGTCGACACAGTTCTAATTTGTTAGTTTGTTGCTCTGGTTTCAATCTTGTGGCCTTAATTGAAGAGGTGGGACATGTAGTCTTGTGCTCTTCTTCATTGCTCGCCGATTATGATTAATGTCAGCAAGAAGCCGCATGAATCTCTTCAGTATTTCCAATAGTGCTGCCACAAGATATATGGACTGGAATTGGCAGAAACAGTGATCTTGATCAAAGTGACGAATACATAAAAACCAAAACTATGAATATAACTTCATATAGAACAAAAACCACGATTGATTCTGTAGAACATTAATTTTTTATTTTTTATTTTTATATCTGAAACCAAATCAAAATACTTGTTCTTTTTAATATAACCAACATAATATTTGATCTGAGGCAATGCCTGCTGGAAGATAAAATCTGTCATTCTCTTACTTGAAAAGAATCTTAGTCTCTAAAGGATAGCTTCTATTTTCAGTAATATTAAATCAGACACTTTATAGCTTTTCTTTGGAAATATATTATAGGAAGTGCATGTGATGTGGTTTCTCTCATGTTCCTGATAGAAGAACTGGGTGCATAACTGACCTTGCACATTAATAGCCAATGTTTTTTTTTTTTAATTTTTTCCTTCCAGACTATACTGATATTTCTTATTTTTGGTAGCCTGGGCATTTTATTCTTGCCCCATGCTATGCTTTGCTTATGTCTTTTTTTCATATTTCCCTTTTTATGTTTCCTTCTTTTCTCCTTTAAGACCTCCACTTTCTTGTGATAAATCTTGTTTTTTAATAATAAGTCTCCAGCTTATGCTGTAAAAAAATGTGAGGGTCCTTATAGTTACTAGAAGCAGCTACTAAGTGATTATGCCTGATTATTATATCCAAGCATTTGCTGGCTGCTTAGTTTCAAGTTTGAGATAGTCCTCTTGCATTGTACATTACAAACGTTGAGTAAATTAATGAGCCATGCTCTAAGATCAATTAGAAAAAGAACTACTATGTTACAAAAAGTACTATCAGAATGCAAGCACTGTTGTTTTTGTCAGTTGTAGATGTATAACATGGATCTGCGATAGCTGAGAATTCTATGTGATTTATTTATTTATTTAATTGTATGGTTACTTTTTGTAGTGATATTTATAATGTAATACATATTTTGGTCTCCTTTTGTTAATCGCTTCACTACTTATCCTTTCTTATTGATTCTTTCTTTTCCTTTTATTTTGTTATTCAGGGATACAGTTATTTCTAGTTCTAAGTTATTGCAAACACTTTACAGTAAGCAAAAATTACAACAGACATCTTCTAGCTCTTTTGATATGTCAACTAGTTTGGGAAGGTCTGTGAAGGCACACTTGCAAAAGCTGGCTATGGATCGCCATAGATTCTCTTTACAAGAAGGTCAAATTGATGTTTTGCAGTGGAAAGGTCACTCAGTTGGGTAATCTTGTCTTGCTTCGACTCCCTATTTTCTAGTTTTTGAATAGCATCTTCTTGAAAAGCATGTAATGCTATTGTCAAGCATATTGCTTGTATTCATTCATGGGTCATACCTATTAATCATGAAATTTTGCGTCTCTACAATCTTGGCCAGTATGCTGTGAACTACAGTCAATGAGCTTAAACAATAGTGAGTTTTGGTCTTCTTTTTTTTTCTTCCTCATTTTTTTCCCCTCTAAATTTAAAGACACATTTTTGGCCACTACTAGGGAGAAAATGAGTGTCAATTGGGCATAATTGTTTTGGAGAAATTGGGTTTTTGGCAAAAGGATTACGAAGTAGGAAATGAAAATGGGAAATAAGCTTAAATATAAAACAGAGGTGGAAAATTAGGGGTGAACATTGGCAAAAATTAATAATAAACCTCATATGAGTCCCAATTAGAATAAAATTTAAAGACTGCATACTCATTTAAGCTACAATATCTTCTGTACTGGGATTTAAAAGAATCATCATCATATGTTTTGGGTCTCAAAAGAGCTTCTGCAATCCTAACCGAGAGGGCCTTACCATTAATTATAAAAGTTTAAAAAGTCTTAATGCCACACCAAACTGAAATTATAGTTGTGAATGTCACTTAGTCACTTCACTGCTCCAATGAACACGCAGGGAACTGGAAGGGCTTGATTGCATCAATTTCAAAATCCTGAGGCTTAAAGTGTTCAAATTGAAAGGAGAGGGACTAGACCACTACTCTGGTAGAATCCATAGGGACCATTCTTATAATTGACCTTTTATAACAACAGTTTTTGTTGAATTGTGAGGAACAAGGTTCAAATTTTTGTGGATAAAATTTGATCATTCTCTAAGGTTATGCATTAATTACTTTCTTTACTGCTGGAAAAGTCAATGTCTGAAAAAGCACTTACCTTGGGAGTGATCATAAAATTTAGATATACGCTTGGCATATATGTCTCTGTCATTCTTCTAATCTTGCTTTATGTTAGGGTTGACCAGTGTCGAATGAAGACGGGATTCATTCTTACAGGTGTGGGTGACAAGGTATGCTCTTAGTTTTTCCTTTCTTTCCTTAATTAAGAGAAATATGAGCCCATTGATCACAGAGAAATCCATTAAAACATGAAATATGGTGTCAAGCCTGCTGACCATTAAATAAAAAGAGGAAAGGAAGTAGTGCAGCTTTTTGTGCTGGTCAAATAACTTTCTTGCTGGCAATAATTTATATGTTATAAATTTTCTGTTCTTCCTGGTCTATCTAAAATTATTTTGGACCTTTCCTGTGTAGTCATATTGTCTGCAGCCTGTGTCATATTCTCTTTCACATGTTGCAGTTCTTGTTACGATGAATATAGCTATGATCTCATGGATTTTTCTCAGCTAGCGCTAGTTAGTGCCTTATTTATTTATGTGCAATAATAAGAATATCTGTGTCAATTGCTACAGATATATGCAAAAACTAGAAAGATGTAATATGGGTCCTATTTTATCTGTGTTCCTAACTATAATAATTTGATTTCTGATTTTGCTAGGTTATGCGTCTCTGGTCAGCAGAGAGCTACAAATGCTTGGATGAATATTCCATCCCAGATAGTGCTCCCCTAATTGATTTTGATTTTGATGAGAGCAAGGTAACATGAGGAAATGGACATGCACTTGTTCTCAATCTGAACCCTATACTGTGCACCTCTTGCAATTTCTAAATGTGTAAGGTCGAGGCTGCATGTTTTATATCAATATATCATTCATTTATCTGATTTTGAGAGTGGTAGGAACTCTAGTTTGTCTACTTCTGGAATGAGTTTGACCATATTGGAGTACCATTCTAGAGAGGGATGCATAGTGTAAGAGGTGTAATCTATATTGGTAACGGTCATTGGGAGGAAGAATTGCACATTCCTTTGAACAACTTGAAGGAATCAATACAGCTGGACTGAACTTGAGCAACCTTGCACATGGCTTACTGTGGCTTGTTTGTGCCTTTTCAATCTTTCTTTTTCCGTGCTAAGTAGAAGTTATAAAGATATTATATACACATACAGGAAGAGCAGTATACAATACTATCCTAACACTTTGAAGACTTTTCAACTTAGGGACAGGCTAACAGCTTATGGCCTATTGCTAAATATAGCAGCTCAAGATATACACACAAAACTTTCCATATAATTATATAGAAAAAAGCAGCATAGAACATTTATCCTTACATTGTGAAGACTCCTGTTAGATCTAAGCTAACATTCTTGGATCTAACTGCATATGTTCCTTTTTAGAAGTAGTGTAGTGTATATGGTAGTAATGTAGTGTACATAGTATAGTCTTACTAAGGCCCAAGCTCTGAGGCTCATATTCGTCTGTATATATATGTGTACTGTCATATCATAATTAGATGAGTAATTTAAATTTTTCCAAGAAGGTGTTTTCTCTCTTTCTCTAATTTTTACATTCCTAATTGGTGATATGAAAATTATTGATTCTATGTAACAATTAGATTTGTATATCTCTCTACATGTAGGTGGTTGGTTTGGTTGGGACTCGTCTATGCATATGGAGGCGCAATGAAAAGAGGAGTATATTTTCCTCACGTGAAGGCCTATTCTCAAGGGGTTTATGTATGCGGTCTGTCATTCATTACTATCCTGATGGCAACACTGCTGCTAGCTTTTTACAAACAATGGATGCTAACCTGGCCTTGTGCCATTTCTTGCTTCAAAAATTATATGTTCCTCTGCAAATCCGCATTGCTATATTCTCATTATGTGTACACTAGGATAGTTTTTCCAGAATTAGTACCCACATAAAGTCAATTTTACTCTACAATTTCACTTCAACATGAGGAGAGCTGTTTGAATTGTATCTCAATACCCGTCTTGGCCCATGGTTAGCAGCTCTTATTAATATTTCCTCCTCTTCAAAGTCTTTATATTGTAGCACAGAATAATGCACTAAAATTCATTAAGCAGCTGAACTATTTTAAGTGATTTGAATCATTCCTTAAAACAATGAAATGTCAATTCTGTTTGTAAATGCACTGTTCCCTTAGATAAAGACAACTCAAGGAAATCCAGGCTTAGTTATGGTCCTAATGGAGCTTGTTACCTCTTCAACTGTTCAAATTGACTTATTGTATATGTCTACACATTTAGGTAGTGCTGTTATTGGTGAAGAAGACACATAGTTTTTATTTATTTAGGGACTGTCAGCAGCATTGGTGGAGGCAATACAAATCTGGTTAGAGATATTGCCTCTTTCATCACTCCCACAACTCCGGATACGCCTAATTTTTAGGCCCTTTTATCTTAAACGGGTGATAACAACTACAATACTGAGTGATTTTTGTTTCTATTACCATGTCCTCTATTCATAATTACTTTGTATGTCTATATCATATTCCTTTTTGCACTTTCTCTTGCATAACTTCTCACTTGATCTCCAAATTTACATTAGCACCTTATTTTGTTCCAGTTGTACATGAACTCATCGCTTGAATGATAATATTATTGGGCATGAGCAATCTGCTTAGCTAACAAAAAGATTTATATGTTCACATATTATTGTTGTTCTTGTTATTATATTTAGTACCTTTTCAGTTATGTAGATCCAGAGGCTGCGGTTGGATGTGAGGATGGGACGGTTCGCTTTTTTGATATGTACAGCCGGAATTGTTCTCAAATTGTAAAGTATGTGTAACAAGAAATTTCATCATTTCTAATTTATTTATTTATTTCTTTTGGACGCATTTTATCGGCTCTTATAACCAGCTTTATGTTGAAGAAGCCAATAAAAAATGTACATGACCTCATTGGATTTATTAGATGCTGCATTTTGTTCATAGTGGTTGATACACATTCTTACATCTAACAGCACGAGAAAATAAGGAAAAAGAAAAGATCAAACCAAGAAACTGATCAACCAAACCAATGTGTGTGGTTTTTTAAAACGCAAATAAATAGTGATTTAAAAACAATTTATTTGTTATTTGTTTATCCAAATTGGTAATCCTATTTGCAGGATGCATGCGGGGCCTGTGACATGCTTGGCTTTAAGTGATGATCACTTAATTATTAGTGGTTCTTCACTTGGTAGTGTGACACTCTCAGATCTTTCCTCTGATCAGCAGGTTAAAGGATTAAGGACAATGGATTCTGGAGGTTGTAAGCTTATACCTTCTCTATTTTTGTACACAAGTAATCATCAGTTGTCACTGTATTGCTGGCTAAGAATATAATGTGTTTCCTGTATAAATATCAGGTCATGTTCTGTGTTTGGACTGCTCTGGTTGTGCATCCATTTTATGCTTTCATAAAACACCAAGGTGTTATAGTTCTAGTCAATGAAGTTAGCCATAATATCTGTTCTTAAGAAGCTGGTTATGTGATAAACCATGGTGTGGAAGAACGAGAATGGTCATTATTATTGCAATGGGGGTCAGAATTCAAGCATTCTTAGTTTGAGGTGCATTTGGATTATTGCTTCATTATTTTTTGCAACAAAGCATAAGAGACGGCTAAGCATATATGCACAATAATCCCTCTTTATCTGTTGCACTGATTGAGCACAACCAAGTGCCACCCTGTTTCCTTAATTGAGACACTTGCTATGATTTCTTGGTTCCTTGTATGTATTTCAATTCAGTGAATGAATGTAATTTTCAATTTGATCTTCGATTGTTGTATCTTTGTTGTATTGGTTGTTCTCCAAATTATGAGTTTTGTAGCATCACCAATTAAGTCAGGGAGAGATAGTCCTAATGAGTCTCAAGTAAATTTAGAAGATATTAAAAAAATTTATGAGCAAAATAATTATTCAATTTAATGCTTTACAATATAGGAAAATAAATAGAAACAATATTACATAAAGAAATAGAAAATCCTATTGTAGAACAAGGAAAAGAGAAAATAAAACCTCAGGAAATTTCTACAAATCCTTTAGTAAAACCAATTGACTTAAAAATGGAAGAATTTAACTTATCACATAGATATGATCTGAAAATACTAGAATAAGTCAAAGAAAAATTAGAAAATTTAGATATACTAAAGCTGCACTTAAGTGTAATTAGAGAAAACTCTAGTAGCAATTCTGAGAATGATAAGCAATTCTTAGACAAAATAAGAACAAAAGACACTTATAAAAAATATGGAAACACAAAAAATTATTTTCATAGACCATCTTTTCCACATGTCCAATATGAAGAACACCGCCAAGTTAATTCTTCGCAATATTATGGAGATAATTTAGTAATTTGGAATATTGATGGGTTAGCTAATACCAAATTTAGGAGTATGTTTAGAAATGATGACTTATGCAATGGCTGTTAAAATGAAAATGACAACAAATGAAAAATATATAGCAAAAGCAATTGTTTATGGATTTACAGGAGTACTTAGAGATTAGTGGAGTAATTATTTAACAGAAGATTCTAGAAATTTCATACTTAACAAAACTAGAATAAAAATAGAAACAAGATCAATAAGTCAAAGTTCAACACATCAAATAGAAGAACTAGATGTAGTCAACACGTTAATATATTCAATCCTTAAGCATTTTATAGGAGATTTAGAAATATTTCAAGATATATAAAAATTAAGGATAAAGATTGCAAGAGAACTTGCGAGAGAAATTGCTAATGGAAAGGACACAGAGTTATATTTCAAAAGCGATACTTACAAAAGATGCGAGATACAAGACTAGGACACTTTTACAATGGCAGGGATTTTCCAAGGAGTATACTGATCTTTCATTCTGAAAAATCACCCTCTGCCGACTGATAATGCAAAAGGCTCTTTTATAGACAGGCTAGACTCAGCTATAGTTAAAACAGACTCGACTCCGATTATTCTTTTATAGACTCAAACAAAATTACAAATCATTTTTATTCACACTATGGCATATGGGTGGTCACCTTTGGGAGACAAAGTCTCAGTGCGAGTATAATAATTTTTACAAATGGACAAACTGCTTTATCTATTTTCTAAAGAAAGCTGAATTACATCATGTTTTCTTTTTTACTATCGGACAACCAACTTTACTTTTTCTTAATAAAGTTTTTCCATGTGACTTTTTGTTAGCAATGATTTCTTTTGTGGTAGCGTTGGTCTATTGGAAGTCTGCTAGATAGAAAATGCTGTTTGCCAATTTCTTTAATCTTATCTTATCGGGGAAGGATTCGGAAACAGTTGTCTTTATTTTCTTGGCGTAATCAACTTCTGTGCTATCATGATCATCCTTTTCTTCTTTTGGAGATTTTTCTAGTTGGGAAAGTCCTTCTAACATTTGCCTTTTGTATTCTTCAAGATTCGTGATGTTGCTAAGTCTGGAATGTAATTGCATTGCTTTGGGAGATATTTTCATTGTTGTAGATGATTCATCTTTACTAGGGCTTGCTATCAGTTGCTTTGAAGATTTCTTCTTGAAAGGGGCAAGGAATGTGTTTGACTTGGTCAACAATTTTCTTAACATAAATTTTTTTCCAATGTTTTACTTAGATTTTTCTAACAAATTTCTTAGGATATGAGTTAGTGTCAAGATGAAAACACCAACACATTATTTAGGGAATATTAAAGGAATTGTAGAAATTTAGAAGTTTGATGTCATTATTTTTCTCAGCAAAAAATTTGCTATATTCATAAAAAAACGATTGAATTTCTAGAGGATAAATTTCTAAGGTAGGACCAAAGATTTTTCACCAATTTTTCCAACAAGTGGGGAAGTGTCCTTGATAGGTTTTTTCAAAGAAAAGGAACCATGTGTGAACTGAACCATCATCGAAAAGGGCATTGCTCCATGCATTGATATAGTCCCAATATGTGTAGGCAGATGGAGTTATTTCACAAGAAAAGGCTCGAAAGGAACAATAAGGAGCATTCCATAAAGAGGAAGAGATGACCATTTTGATTTGTATTTTCAAAAATGAAATTTTTCTAGGATCCTTGGGATTAAAATTGTGAGTAATCTTAATTGATCCCGTATTTTCTAAAATAGTTTCGTAAAAATTTCTAGATTTTTCTGGAGAAGGTGGTAAGAATAGGAAGCCTTGAGGAAAGAATAAATTTGAGGCTTTCTTTAAAGATTTGATTTCTAAATCATCATCCAAAAATGCTATATGAATATGGTTGGGCTTGGTAACCCAATTGTCATTCTTCTTGTCATTGCTACAGGATGATCTGCTATAAATTGTAGATGGAGAATTGAAGGTTGTAGAATTATTTCTAGGGTTTTTTTTGGATTTCTCTGTGGACTTGCTAATGGATTTCATTTTTGAAAATACAAATAAAAAAGGTCATCTCTTCCTCCTTATGGAATGCTCCTTATTGTTATCTTCGAGCCTTTTCTTGTGAAATGACTCTATCTGCCTACACATATTAGGACTATATCAATGCGTGGAGCAATGCCCTCTTCTATGATGGTTCTGTTCACGCATAGTTCCTTTTCTTTGAAAAAACCTGTCAAGGACACTTCCCCACTTGGTGGAAAATCTTTGGTCCTACCTTAGAAATTTATCCTCCAGAAATTCATTCGCTTTTTCATGATTATGGCAAATTTTCTGTTCAGAAAAACAATGACATCAGACTTCTAAATTTCAGCAATTCCTTTAATATTCCCTAGATAATGTGTTGGTGTTTTCATCTTGACATTGACTCATATCCTAAGCAATTTGTTAGAAAAATCAAAGTAAAACATTGGAAAAAAATTGATGTTAAGAAAATTGTTGACCAAGTCAACACATTCCTTGCCCCTTTCAAGAAGAAATCTTCAAAGTAACCGATAGCAAGCCCTAGCAAAGATGAATCATCTACAACAATGAAAATATCTCCCAGAGCAATACAATTACATTCTAGACTTAGCAACATCACGGATCTCGAAGAATACAAAAGACAAATGTTAGAAGGACTTTCCCAGCTAGAAGAATCTCTAAAAGAAGTAAAGGATGATGATGACAGTACAGAAATTGATTACGCCCAAGAAAATGAAGACGACTACTTCGGAATCCTTCCCCTGATAAGATAAGATTAAAGAAATTGGTAGACAGCATGTTCTATCTGGCAGACTTTCAATGGACCAACGCTACCACAAAAAAATCATTGTTAGCAAGAAGTCACATGGAAAAACTTTATTAAGAAAAAGCCAAGTTGGTTGTCCGATAGTAAAAAGGAAGACATGATGTAACTCAACTTTCTTTAGAAAATAAAAAAAGTAGTTTGTCAATTTGTAGAAATTATTATACTCGCACTGAGACTTTGTCTCCCAAAGGTGGCCGCCCATGTGTCATAGTGCAAATAGAAATGATTTGTAATTTTGTTTGAATCTATAAAAGAATAATCGGAGTCGAGTCTGTTTTAACTATAGTTGAGTCTAGCCTGTCTATAAAAGAGTCTTTTGCATCATCAGTCGGCAGAGGGTGATTTTTCAGAACGAAAGATCAGTATACTTCTTGGAAAATTCTTGCCATTATAAAAGTGTCCTAGTCTTGTATCTTGCATCTTTTGTAAGTATCTCTTTTGAAATATAACTCTGTGTCCTTTCCATCAGCAATTTCTCTCGCAATTTCTCTTGACCATGAAAAAGGAGAATTCATTAACAATTTCCATTTGTAAGATGTTGTTTTACTTGCTAAAACCAATTTCATGGCATGTTTTGTGATATTGAATTATTATAAAGAAGTTTTTGAGGTATTTTATTCTGTACCTATTTAAATACTTCTCCTTTCTGGTGATAGGCATAAGGACCCTGTGTTTCAATCCCAGTTCATATTTAGTCTTTGCTGGAACAACTGCGGGATATGCATCTTGCTGGGATCTAAGGTACGCTAATTTTTTTAGGACACTCTGTACTGTGATCTATTTTCCAGTAATTCATGCCTAAAGAACTACTTGATGATTATAAAATTACACTTTCTTAATGGCAAGTTTGAAAGTTTACTTGAAGACTTTTGTGGATTCATCTCCATGGCTTATGCATCTGAATGGAGAAATTATTTCAGAATGTTAATGTTTAAAATATCAATAAATTGATTAAAATGATTGCTCCCCAACATGGAAAGAATATGTAGCTTTGTTTTGAGCATTGCTGGAAGGTGGTGAACATGATTGCAAAAAGTAGGAACTTGAATATGTCAATTTAATATACAGTTGTGTAAAGCAGTAGTTTCTGGTCCTACCGTAAAAACTGAACTGTACATGTGCTTTTGTTTTTGTGTGTGTGTGTGTGTGTGTGTGTGTGTGTGAGAGAGAGAGAGAGAGAGAGAGAGAGAGAGAGAGAGAGAGATGGTAGCTTATAGGTAGAATTTCAGGATCTGGTGAGGACAACTCTCCTTTTTTGGCTAATTTAAGGAAAGGCCGTTGACCCGTAGTGTAGGAAAAACAGAAAGGGCCTGATGCTTGAAATATCCAAGGACGTGTACTTAGAGAGAGAGAGAACCTGTGAATCTAAAGAAGTATTTTATTTCACTTCTTTTTCTTCTACTTCCTAAAGTTCTTGACATTTCTTTTATGATTATGTTTTGCAAGGTTCTAGTGGAAGGCAAGTGCATTATCTTATTGTGTTCTCTTGCAGGTCAATGAGGACATTATGGAATAACCGAGTGAGTCCGAATGTTATATACTCTATGCATCACTTACGAAGTGACAAATCAACCTTAGTTGTTGGTGGAATCGATGGTGTGTTAAGATTCTTGGACCAAGACACTGGCAAGGTTTTCTCTAGGTGCATAATGAATGAAACCAGCAGTGTTTCAAATTCCGCGATTGATTCATATGGAGTTGTCCGAATAAGGAAAGCAAAGAGGCTTTCAGAAGATGCTCGTATTGATCTTCTTCCTAGAACTTGCCGACCTCCCATCAGATGCTTGGCTGTTGGAATGCAGAAGGTTGTTAGTGTACACAATGAGAAAAATATCAGATTATGGAAATTCAATATATAGGTTTTCTCTAGAGCAGAAATCGTGACCTTCTAGAGTGTTAAGCATTGAAGCCAAGATCAATTGGCAACCGAGTGGAGCCTCTTGTTGCTTGAGGTGTTTTTGACTGATGTGGAGCTGAAGGGTGCAAGATGTAAAAGTTCTTCCGAAGGAAACAGTAATGAGCCCAAAGTCTTAAAATTATTTAGGGGGTGTTTGGTTAGCCAAAAAAACCTCAATTTTTCTTTTAAATTTTTATGAGTCAGCTAGAGGTGGAAATGTTTGGAGCCTTTTTGGAGTTTTCAGCACCTAAAAAGTACTTGTCCAGAAGGATTGCATTCCGTTTGACAGTAGAAGACCAGAAGTCCTGATGGATGAATTAGTGTTGTACGGAAAATTAAGAAGAAGATATGCACAGCGAGTAATTGTTTCGATATGTTGGAGATTTGTTATTTATACAGAAATTGTGCCATTCTCACTACTTGGTTAATATGTGGGCATTAAAGATTGGTTCCCTCTGATTTAAGATAATTTATGTTTAAAACTCTCTCACTTTTTATTATTTTTTATGTTGATGCCAATGTGTTTTACTTTCAAGACATTACTAACTAATTTAATGTCCTCATGGCTCTAAAGTATATGCAGAAATCTTGAAAATAATTAAATTTATCAGTTATTTTTTTGAGGGTAAAATACAGTTGTTCCTTTGAACTATTATCTATGTTAACATTTACTTCCCTCAAAAAATATGAAATGTAGCAGTGTATGCCTTCAAATTTACATTCATAGTTTTAAAATGCTAATAGGGTTAATGCACCTATTTAAGTTACTATAATAACTCTTAACTATATTCTTAATTTACTATAATATCTCTCAATTTTTTTAGCATCCTTCATTATGGATAAAATTTTTAATTAATTAATAATTTTTTTGATGACAAGGTTGTCATTTTTCATATTAATTCCAGCATAAATTTTTAAATTAATTATTTTTTGTTTATAAATATATTTTTTTATATAGACAATATTTGTTATATTATGAATAGTGAATAATGTAGGTTAAAGGATTAATTTCGTGAAAATTGTTGTTTTTTATTACAACAAAAAATGTTATTTTTCAAATTGGTTGGAAATAATTTTTTTATTACAATAAAGACTATTATTTTATAGAGAATATTTGCTAAATTATGGATGGTATATACGGTGTAGATTAATGAGTGTTTAATAATTTAAATGAGTATATTAATTTATTTAATTATTTTTAACTGTAAATATAAATTTAATGTGTTAAATTATTACCTTTTATATTTTAAGAAGGCAAGTATTATCAACGTAATAATTTGAGTAATAAACTGCATTTTTTCTTTTTTTTAAGAGAATAATAATTAAATCAAAACCAGAGAAAAGTAATTGTTAAAATTCAATAACTATCATATTTTGTATGTGCCATCCATATTATAGGTCCTCAAAAGAGCTTTCTCTAATTTCTGCCTTCGTGTCTTATCTTTCCTTTTATTCGATTTGTCTTCCTTATTTTAGGTCTCTTGCAAAGTGGGAAAGGGAATGGGGAGAGGGAGGGCTGCTTCCCCTTCATATATCCCCTTTTGTAATTTGTATGTCACTTTTTGACTTATTGTCATTACCATGTTTCTCTCAATACTTGTTGAATTAGAAACTATATATATTATGGTGATTACGAAGATGCTTGTTATGTTATTAAATTTCAACTCTTTCACTATTAAGTGCTGTTTGGATATACTCGACAAATCTTTTCTATTCTTCTTTGTTTAATTTCTGATGTTTAGTTTTTTTTACTATTTGGTTCAAAGAAAAAATAAAATTGCAAGACAAGAAAAAGACTAAAAAAATTCAATTTTTTGATAACTTGATTTTACTGGTTTAATGCTAAAAGATACCTATGCTTTATTGTTTACATTTTATTCTAATTTTTTCCAGTAACATAAAAAAAGGTCAAATATTAGAAAGATTCGATATTTTTTCTTCAATAATAATAAAATCAAAAACTTGGGGACTCTGACAAACCAAACACGCCCTAGGTTACGTTCATATGATTAACTTGATAAATATATTTTCTGCGTAGTTGGTGTTGAGAACAAGACTAGGGTGTCTAGTTACTGTAATACCCAAATTCAGGGGCTTGATTAAAAGAAATCTGGAATTTGGAGGCCGTTGTAATAAGTAGTAAGGTTTCAGAGACCAAGTTGAAAACAAAAAGGAAATTCAGGGACCAGAGCAAAAATCAGAACAGTGTCCGTCTTCTCCTTCAACCGAGAAACCTCAGCCGCCATGATTTCCGTTCGTTCGATTGGAACCCTAAATCGATTTAGCATTTTTGTCCCTTTGTTCTTCCAAATCATCGCTGATCGAATGACCGCTGCACATACTGCCGCAGAAGCACCACCTTTGCAGATTTCTGCGCCGCCGGCTCTTCAATCTTCGTCAACTGTACTGCCGACCAACTGCCGATCGAGACCATCGAAACTGGAAGTCGACGACATTTCTGCTCGTTCCTCCACCACCCCCCCCCCCCCCCCCCCGGGGCGATTGCTTTGCCTCTAACATTGGCCGTGCATCCTGGTGTCTCGCCATCGCTGTTCTGTCATCGCCGACCTCTGATAACTCTTCCTGTGGCCGATGTGCTTCTTTTTTGACGCTGTCACCTTACTTGCCACCACCGACCGGCGACAGAGAGTGAAGCCGGAACTGAAACCGAAGGTAATGGGTTGGGTCGATTCTAGATCCGGGTATAGGTTTCGGATTCGGATCCTGATCTGACCATGGGTTATGGGGTATAGATTTCAAGTTTGGGTGTTGGATTTGGGTTTGGTTTCTGGGTTCAGGCTGGGTTTTTTGGATGATGGGTTTGGATCTGGACTAATTAACGTGGGTTTCGAAATGGATTTGGATTACGAATCTGGAGCAGCAGACTTGAACTTGGCTTTGAACGTGGATCCTACATCCGAACTAGGGTTTTGGGCTTGCGTTTTTTGACTCAAACGGGTCAGATTATGGGTTCTGACTAGGAAATTATATATATATATATATATATATATGATTTTAAATTTCTTAAAAATTTCTTGTTACTATTGTTGATTCTATAGTACTAGAGTGTCAAATATTTTGGTTCCAATTTATTTTGTGAGTAATAATATATGTTTACGATCGCTTGAAAATTTTCTAAATTCTCACATTTGTTTCAATCATGCATAGTAACATGATTTTTGAAACTAGAACATAGGGGACACATGTTTTTGGAAAATGTTTTGAAACAATTTCCAATGATTGGGCCCATTGGAGTTTAAGTAAATAATGGGACTAATACTTTTGAAACTTTTATTTTGAAATATAATATGTGATAATGAAATTATATGTTTATTTTTATAAATGTGGTCTCAAAATTAAACGTTTATGTATTTCAAAAGAAATTAAAAATGAACTTTGAAATGTGAATACATGGGATGGGAGATAATGGGCTCCTGTAGTTAGTGGTATTGTCATTAGCCTAGGTGTACCTTATTTTGAATTATTTAACTAGCTGAAAGTGCTATCATAGCATGTTTAGCCAATATGGTTATTTTTGGGTTCAGTTAATAGGGATTCTTGTTAGCCTCTCACATTGGTACACGGTTATTTTGATTGTGGTTCTAAATTGAGATTCTTGTTATATTTTTTGTACTTGATAGCAATGTGACATAATATGCTACGTTTAGAACACATGATTGTGACTCATTGGGTCGTAAGCATGTGCCTAACTTATATTTTTCAGATTTCAAGTCGAGCCATGTCTTGAATAGTTAGGTTGTTAGAAGAGTTGATTTTGGATTTACGTAGATAGATTTGATTAATTTCATTTGTTTTGAGTTATATATTTGACTTTATATGTATTTCATTACTCTCAAATAAGATTTTTGCTTTCATTGTGACTCTTAGATTTGAGAAGGTTTATTTTCAAATATTTTTAATAAATTTTTTGATTATACTTTAGTTATCAAATGTTTTAAGATATAATGTTCTTGTTTCTATTAAATTTGCTCGGTTTGACCTAAAATCGATTAAGTCTCTCCACATTAGGCTACGACATTTACTCTCTAAATATTTGTAATTTGTATTCCTTTTCTTAATAGCACGGGTTAGAGGGCAGTTGGAGTAATGAAAATATGAAATACATTAGATGAATTTTCAAAAAAAGAAGAAGATATTTTCTATTTCTTTTAACCCTATAAATGGTTAGGTTTCTCCTGTTATAAGATTCAGGAATTTCTCAGCTTTCGGACAGCTCCCCCTTTGACTAATATCATATCGTGGGACTCGGTTTTCAAATATTACCAGTCCTAAATCTAGAAGGTTGCTTTTTCTTCTTCTTACAACAACCACACACCCCCCCCCCCCCCCCCCCCCCGGGGAAAAAAAAAAAAAACCAAGGGTAATCACTATGTTTGGTTTTTCTTTTTGAAATATTATTTTCATATTAATTTATACTTCTTTCTGTTTTTTGATAAAGTCTCACCTACGCGGAGCCGCCAAACAATGGATCGGGGGAAGGTGGAGAAGTTTTCTTTGAAGGGTGCAGATATCCATAATTAATTATGATATTTTAATGAAAAATTATATTAATTATTAAGTTATATAGTCGGAGCGTTATGGCAGCCAGGTCAAAACCTTCGTCATTACTCACTACATTTTCAACCAAACAAACCTATGGATCATGTCAAACCACGTTGTTTTACGTGGTCTAAGTTTCAGTGTTTTTAACGTTTACGTAAGGTAAAACAAGAAAAAATATAACTGCCACAAAATCCAAAATATATTAAACAACGAGAAAATACTTTTTTTTTTAATTCAAAATGATGTCCACAAAATTACCGAATTTCCCCTTTTGAAATTAAGTTTTTTTTCTTCTTATATTTCACATTTTCTATTAGATAATATAGACCAAGACAATCATTATATCAAATTCAGGAAGACCTATATCCGAATCTAATAATAGTATATTATATTCTAATTTGAGTCGAAAGTCTATGAAATACGTGTTTAGTATTATCATAATTGAATTTAAAATAAAACTTGAAATTTGAAAAGATAATTTGAATATGAATTATTAAATTATCATATCTTAATTATTTTGTATTTTAGAAAAAATAATCCAAAATCAAAACAAGAAATTTTTAAAAAAATATGAATAGATAAATAATTTTGTAATTAAAAAAATATAATATAATTACATTTAGTCTACCGTAATTATTATATTTGACATTGGTTTAATGGTAATACATAACAATTACATTTAATACATTAATATACATATTTTTCATTTTCATTTTTCTAAAAAAATAAAAGTATGTTTTTAGTTT